ACTCCCCTAACACGGAACTTTCAACTCCAAACCCTAAACTCTATAGACTAAGCTCTAAACCCTAATTCCTAAACTCTAAACCCTCAACCCCAAACCCTAAACCTCCAAACCCTAAACTCTATAGACTAAGCTCTAAACCCTCCTTGGTGCATCGTGGCCAGGACGACTTCCAGACGGAGGCCGAAGAAAGAGAGAAGCCCTCGGCATTTTAAAGCCAATTTCCGAAGGAAATACCTGAACTTTGGGGTTTAGGGTTTGCGATTCCTTTTTCTGATTTCCTTCTACAAATCTGATGCCTGAACTTTAGGGCTTAGGGTTAAGGATTCGAATTTTCTGATTTCTTTCTACAAATCCTTAAAAAAGGCAGGCTTTTTTCAGGGTCCAGGTGGATGCTAAACTTAAGGTCTGGAAGAGGTGTCTGCCGCAAACGTCAGAAGCGGTATATACTTTCTAGAAGAGGAGTATACCTCTGATACTAAAAGGGGGAGGTTAAACATGCCGTATTTGTTAGAAGGGGCCGTCGTGCGGTAGTTCGTATATACACTACTGCTTAACTGGAGGGTTTTTTCAAAGTGTCTGGGCCTGGACCCGTGCGTAGCCCAAAGAGTGTTGACTTCGTTGCCTTCGCATAAGGGTTGAGGGTTTAGGGTTTCGGGTATGGAGCGGGTTTTTGCGCCTTTCAAAGCCGACAATACCATATGTTAAACTGTTAAGAACTCGTTCTGCGGTCTCAGGGTTTAGGGTTTAGGGGTTTAGGGTTTAGGGCAATCCTATGCTGATGAACAGTTGTCAGGGGTTTCCCTCCTCCTCAGCAAGGCCCCAATTCCTACACACTGTACCTTAAAGCCCTTAGCCATGAAACCTTCCCTAGACCCTAAACCCTAAAACCCTAAACCCTAAACCCTAAACCCTAAACCCTAAACCTTTGCAGTGGTTCTGCAAAGTGTGGGACGTGAAGTGCAAGACTGATTCAGGGTGTTTGGTGCCGTGGTGCCTGGTTTGGGATGAAGCCTCTGAACCCTTATAGAACCCTTATCGGAAATCTTGTAGGAACCCGCAGAGAACCCTTTTAGGAACCCGGAACCCCTAAACCCTAAACCCTAAACCCTAAACCCTAAACCCGGAACCCCTAAACCCTAAGCCCGGAACCCCGAAACCCGGAACCCCTAAACCCTATGCCCGGAACCCCTAAACCCTAAACCCTAAAACCTAAACCCCAAACCCTGAAACCTAAACCCCAACGAGGCCAAAGGGTCTGAGAGAAACGCGCGTGACCAGGCTGGTGGAGAAGCCTTCGACCTGCTGCAGTGGCTGCAAACCACGGCCTGCCGGGATAGGGTTTAGGGTTCAGGGTTTGGGGTTTTTGGGTTTAGGGTTTGGGTTTTTTGGGTTTAGGGTTTGGAGTTTTTGGGTTTAGGGTTTAGGGTTTGGGGTTTTTGGGTTTAGGGTTGTTTGGGGTTTTTGGGTTTAGGGTTCAGGGTTTGGGGTTTTTGGGTTTAGGGTTTAGGGTTTGGGGTTTGGGGGTTTTGGGTTTAGGGTTTAGGGTTTGGGGTTCACAGTTTAGGGTTTAGGGCTTGGGGTTTAGGGTTGTAGGGTTTAGCCTAAGCCGTCCAGGGTTCAGAGTTTGGGGTTTAGGGTTTAGGGGCTCAAGTTCTGCAAATGCCGACACCAAGAAACTAATGCTACAACCTACTATTGCTACTGTGGGATGACGACGAAGACGACTGCTACCACTACTACACTCATCGCGGGTCATGATATCTCATGATCATCGTGATGGTGACGATGATCATGATCACTTGCGTCGACATCATCATCCTCGGCAGCATCACTGCCACCATCACCATTTCGACTATTACCCCCACCCTTCAAGAGAAGAGCAGGGTCCAAACTCACCCATTTTTGTTGATGTCGGACTGCTTTAAGGGTTCCTTTAAGGCTCTTATAAGGTTTGTAGGGCTTTCTAGTGGCTCAGGAATCCTTTTATCAGTGTAGTAGAAGATACCCCGAACCCTATTCCAATTACTAAGGCCCCTACAAACCCTAAACCCTAAAGCACCACCCTAAAAACAACACCCTATTACAATTACTACTTCACTAGAACCATGGGACCAAGTGTTCGGTTCTCGGGGTACCACGTGGGCTTCTCAGTAGGGTTTCTAGAAGGTTTAAGGCATTGGGGTTTAGGGTTGAGGGTTTAGGGTCTCAAAAAGGTGTCGAAAGAGTTTCCAAAAAGCTTCTGTAAGGGTTCCCTGGGGTGTCTATTCGGGTTTCTAGAAGGGTTCTGGAATTTTCCTATGCGGATTGGTTTTCCTATGCGGATTGGGTTGTTCACGGCTTAGTGTTTAGCTTTTTTAAAGGTATCCTTCAGGCAAGCTACATGCCCTAAACCCTGAACCCTAAACCCCCTAAACCCTTAACCCCTAAGCCCTAAACCCTAGACCCTAGACCCTAAACCCTAAACCCCAAAACCCTAAACCCTAGACCCTAAACCCTAAACCCTAAGCCAGAAAAGATCCTGAGCCCGGAGCCGCGTGAGTCCCATTCAAACGTCCGCTTACTGGATCCGAAGACCCAGGGACGTGATCTAGGGGCTTAATCAGTTACCAATAGTATTTTGGGATCATCGCGTTCGCGCGCCAGAACTGCTTTGGGTACCACCGGAAATCGTGGTATACGTAGCATTTCCGGTACTTCCTCTGGGAAAACACGTCGAACACCTCGGGAATTGCGGTGTTTTCGAATGTTCCACTAAGAGCATCCATGGGCCAACCACGTTAAAGTCCACTCGGACCTCGTCCAGACAAACTCCGTCCCTTCCCACAGAGCATCCATGTGGCAACCGTGATAACGTCCACACAAACTCCGTCCGGTCCCACAGAGCATCCATGTAGACCCTAAACCCAATAGCCTCAAGCGCTAGGAGCAATGTATAGGGAATCTCAGCACTACTTGTCCTTAGTCCGGTTTCCAACCCTTTGTTGGGGGTTCATTATAAATCTGGCAACCGGGAGGGCAACCCGAGAGCAGTCCCTAAACCGTAAACCCTGAACTGCGGAGCTGTTACACCCGCTTCCCCCGGCCCAGCGCAGGGCGTGCCGGCGCTTCTTGGGGCCCAGGCGGCCAGCTCGACGCTTGAGTTTGGACGCTACACCCCAAACCCCCAAACCCTAAACCCCAAACCCTAAACCCAAAACCCTCATTGGTGTTTAGAGCTCTGGGTTTTAGGATGTAGGGCTCAGAGTTACGAGGGGCTTTGAGTTGAGGGTTTTGGGCTTCAGAGTCTCGAAGCCCAAGGGCCCTAGGGCCTTGACGGAAGGGGGGAAGCTTAGGGGGTTTGGGCTTAGGGGTTGTAGGGTTTAGAGTTTAGGGTTTGGGGTTGAGGGTTTGGGTTGAGGGTTTGGGGTTGAGGGTTGTAGGGTTTAGAGTTTAGGGTTTGGGGTTGAGGGTTTAGAGTTTGGGGTTGAGGGCTAGGGTTTAGGGTTTGGGGTTGAGGGCTTAGGGTTTGGGGTTGCGGGTTTAGGGTTTTAGGGTTTTAGGGTTTAGGGTTCAGGGTCTGGGGTTTGGGGTTTAGGGTTTTAGGGTTTAGGGGTTGAGGGTTTGAGGTTTAGGGTTTAGGGTTTGGGGTTGAGGGTTTGGCATTTGGGGTTGAGGGTTTAGGGCTTAGGGTTTGTGGGTTTAGGTTTTAGTTTAGGGCTTGGGGTTGAGAGTTTGGGGTTTAGGGTTTGGGTTTAAGGCCTTGGGTTTGGGGTTTAGGGGTTGAGGGATTGATGAGTGTTTGGGTTTTCAGGGTTGATTAGGGTTAAAGGTTCGGGTTTTCTGGTGTTGATTTGTGAGGGTGTGGAGTTCTGGGCTTTCCGGGGTTTTTGGTCAGTCTATCTTCCAAACCATGAGGTTTGATAGCTGAGGCCAGTTTAGAATGGGGGTTGGAGGGGTTAACGCTTTGGCCTAAACCCTGAACCCCTAAACCCTAAACCCTAAACCTGAACCCTGAACCGTAAGCCGACAAGCCCTACTGAAAGCCTTAAGCCCTAAACCCTAAGCCCTAAGGCCTAACCCGAAGCCCTAAAGTGCCGAACCCTCTGCGCAGCCCCAAAACATCCCGAGCACCCTAAGTCTTAAAACCCATACCCGAAAACCCCTACACCTTTGTGCCCGAAGCAAACCCTAAACCCTAAACCTAAACCCTAAAGCCTAAACCCTAAGCCAGTCCTGAAAGCACAGCACGAGGCGATGCGAAGCGAAGATTTTCAGCGGTTTAGGGTTTAGGGGTTATCACCACCATCGCCCGTTCGGGTTCACGACGTGGGAAAAGCCGCTGTTTCCGCAGGAGAAGATGCCATGCGCTGGGCCCACGGGGCGGCGGCTGTGAGCCTTCTAAAACGGGAGAAGGAATGGTACAGTACCCGGGACAACCTGTCCCTCGTAACATTCATATGGGTAGTTCTGGCACCCTTATAAAAAGGACCCTAAAGAGGACCCTAATTCAGAGAACTACCGATATGGGTCCGCCTGCTCGGGCAGTCGGGCAGTCGGAATGTGGAATCTCCTCACAAGCTCAGGCCCCGAAGCACAAACCATGAATCCATGAATCCTAAACCCCGAACCCAAAACCCTACATAAGACCCTTAACCAGAATTGCACCACACTACTTGCCTTCAGCCCTCCTTCACACTCTTCGCTCAGGCCTTCTGAAACTAGGAACCGTCTACTGCACTGGCCCAGACCCCAAACCACTCCGGGCCTTAAGCTTTAAGCCTTCAAGCCCTAAACGCTGAACTCCACATGTTAAACCCGAAAGCTACAACTCCAAACCTTCAACGCTCGGCGCTGTTGTGGATTTTTGGAAGACATTGTGTTCCTTTGGGAGCAATATCATGATTACTAACACTGGTAGTATTCGTCTAGGTTCCCTGTTGATCAGAAATGCTGAAACCCTAAACCCTGAACCCCTAAACCCTAAACCCCTACAGCCCCCAGACCCTACTCCAGTCCAACAGGCTACTTCCTTGCCCTTCGCTGCGGAGCTCTTGCGCTCATCGGCCTCGAAACAAGGGATGTCATCCTTCCTTGCCAGGGATCAGGGTCTAATAGTGGGGCCTTCAGAGTTAGAAAAGGGTTTGGGGGTATACGGTATATTATACTAAACTTATATCAAGGAGCCCCCCAAAATACTGTAGGTAATTATGTAGGCCCCCTAAACCCTAGACCCTAGACCCTAAACCCTAAACCCCTAAACCCTTAACCCCTAAACCCTTAACCCCTAAACCCCTAATCCCTAAACCCAAACCTTAGACCCTAAACCCTAAACCCTAAACCCAAACCTTAAACCCTAAACCCTAAACCCTGCTCTAATTATTCGGGCCCCTACATTACGGTTAGTCGCAAGGGTTAGGATGCCGGGTTCGAACTTCAGGGTAGGGTTTGGGGTTTAAGGGTTCAGGGTTTAAGGGTTCTAGGGTTTAAGGGTTCAGGGTTTTGGGGTTTAACGTTTTAGGGGTTTGGGGTTTAAGGGTTCAGGGTTTAAGAGGGTGTAAGGGTTCAGGGTTTAGGGTTTTAACGTTGTAGGGGTTTGGGGTTTAAGGGTTCATGGTTTAGGGTTTTTAGGTTTCAGGGTTTCGGGTTTAGGGTTAACCGTCTTCGGATATCAACCGTTCTGAGGTTCTCGAGCTTTTGGAACGCTCTCCTAAAAACCCTCCCGCGATACTCCTAGGTAGTATTAGGGAGACCCTTAAGCCTACTTATGGCTCTCTTGAAAGGGACCTTATTCAGAGGGTCCATATCCCCCATGGGTCCCCTTAATCTAAGGGATCTATTCTTTAGATCCTTTTGGGGGTCTGGGTAATACTACCTAGGAGTCCCCTGAACCCGAAACTCACGTAACCTCCCCGTCGGGCCCTGGAGTCGATTGTTGCAGTTGGGTTTTGGCCCGGTGGAGCTTATTGGGTTTAGGGTTCAGGGTTTTGGGGGTTTAGGGGTTTAGGGTTTAGGGGTTTAAGGTTTTAGGGTTTAGGGGTTTAGCTGTCTAGGGTTTTAGGGTTTTAGGGTTTAGGGTTTAGGGTTTAGCAAGGTTCCTGGGGTTCCAGAAAGCTTTTGGGTAGTTATGGGAAGTCGCAGCAGGGCCGTAAACCCCAAACCCTCAAATTTCCCGCCTAATTCGGAGTTTTGTTGTAGGCTTGGGTTGACGCTTTCAGTCTTTGGGGATCTGGGCTGGTAGGGTTCATAGGCCTTGTCCCCCCAACCGCAAAGCGTTGCACTCAGGGCTCCCGAGATACCATAAGTCCTGAAAATACACAAAGTTGATTCGCATGGGGACTCCTGCTCTAGTTGCATATCGGATAGTTACGATGACAAGAACACGTTCTCCCGAGCCAGAAGCAGTCCCAGAGACGTGGAAGCTGCTTCTACTGGCAGTTTCAATGCGCGACTGATTTGTCACGGCGGGCCAGTTTCATAGGAAGCTGCACCACCACGTTGTTAGAGAGGGAACATGCTGAGCGAACGCGGCTTCTCGATGCGTGCCAGACGAACGCCACGTCACGGCACTCCTGCGTGGAGCTAGAATGGCACGATTCGTTGGCACGAGAGTCACGTTCACGCCTGTCCCTATTACGATGTAGGTGACGCTCCGAGTACGACAGCGTCTGTGGCATTTCTCCGACGACTCCAAGAAGAAGAGATTCGCGATTTCGGCAGAGGGAAACAGGTTCGCGGAACCCCGGAACCCTAAACCCCAGAACCCCTAAACCCTAAACCCTAAGAGCCCTAAGCAACCTTTAGGCGTCGTTGTGAAAGGGCGGAGGTGAATATAGAGGCCTAAACAATTACCGATACTATCGTGGGGTTAGGGGGGTTCCTTATCATGATTATAGCATAGTATACCCCCCCCAAAAACCTTATTCTTGGTATTCAGACTAAACCCTACCCTAAACCCGAAGCCCTAAACCCTAAACCCCAAACCCTAAACCCTGAACCCTAAACCCTAAACCCTAAACTCCAAAACCTTATTCTAATCATTAAGGTCCCTACATGACCAAAGCTTCAAGGCTGCAAGCCTCCGGTCCCTCCGACTTTCGAAGCCCTCAGCTCTTTGGTGGTTCGTTTTAAGGGTTCTATAAAGGGTTCCTATAAGGGTTCTATGAGCCCAAAACCCTAAACCCTAAACCCCAAACCCTAAACCCTGAACCCGAAACCCTGAACCCTAAACCCTGAACCCTAAACCCTAAACCCTGAACCCTAACTATAAGGGTTCTATGAGGATTCTATAAGGGTTCTATAATGGTTCTCTAAGGGTTCTATGAGAGCTCTATACTTGGAGGTTCATGATTGGTGATAATGGGTTATAAGCAGGACAACTAGAGTAACTGAAGTTATTACCCATATTGAAGGACTTATAACTCGACTTATAGCTACCCCTGAAACTCCAAGCAGAACCCTTGAAGTACGGATTAACAGGGAAGTTTCTTCTAGAGTTTAAGGTCTAGCCTATAACATCGGGGAGTTTTGGTAGGTAAACCCTACATGCTCAACAAAGCCCCTCTGGACCCCTGCAGCAACCGTATAGAACCCTGAGCCCTCTAGAAGGATTTAGGGTTTAGGGTGTAGGGGTTGAGGGTTTAGGGGTTTAGGGTTTAGGGTTTTAGGGTTTAGGGTTTAGGGTTTGGGTTTTAGGGTAGAACTACCTCCCAGGTAATGCGAGCATACCGGGGAACCCGGTGAACGTGGCGCTAACGGATGCAGCCAGCTTTCTCTCCAGGACTGCGCTCTCCCGATTAGGGCTTAGGGCTTAGGGCTTAGGTTTTAGGGCTTAGGGGACTGAAACCCTGAACCCTAAACCCAAACGAATATAGAAGCCTGGAGACTTACAAACACTATTCATAAGCATACTATTGCTCACACCAAAAGCCTGTTGTAACTATAATGACAATTCACGTCTAAACGCTAAACTGAAACCGAAAGGGACTTACCTTTCAGTGAGGGGTTGGGTTTCTGTGGGTGTCAGGGTTCAGTGCAACATAAAGGTGCCCTTGTCCGACAGAGGGTGTGGCATGTGTTGATGAAGCATAGAGGGTTTAGGGTTTAGGGATTAGGGTTTAGGGTTTAGGGTTTAGGGAAGGAAGACACTTGCTTTGCTCACCTGGATCATGGCGCTGGAGTGCAGGAGCCGAGTGTGCTCTTGATTGCATCCTTGACAAAGCCCTCTACAGGCAACCGGGCCCTTTTCTTGACAGGGAAATTCTGAACCCACGTCCTAAACTCCACTAAAACACTGAAGCCCTTTCTGCTGGAAGGATCGCGAATGCCTCCTTGGAGGAGATTGAGACAGAGATCATCCCTGGTCTGGTCCCTGTCTCTCCTCCAGCTCCGGATTCAATCAAGGTTTTTTGGTTTAGGGTTTAGGGTTTAGGGTTTTGGGGCTGTGCTGTTAGTTTTTATTCAAAGTGGTGCTGATTTAGGTTTCGGGGTTTAGGGTAATCTGAGGTTTGCCGGCTAGGCCCAGGGACACAAGCTGCACATCCAAAGCAAGGCTTGCCCTTTTTTGGATTTTTTCTACCATCGGACTGGCCAGCATTTTCCTGTATAGTTTTCTACTAGCTGGCAGAGGACGTGTCGCAACAGACTCATAAGTTCGAAACAAGCCTGCTGGCATGATCCAACTCAGTTTCTGGCAGAAGTTGCCCCAGTCCATGATTAGCTATCAGTAGTGGTAGTAGTAGTAGTAGTCGTCGTCGTCGTCGTCGTCGTCGTCGTAGTCGTCGTCGTAGTAGTAGTAGGAGGAGGATTTGTATACCTGCTCTAGTCATCTTAACAGGTCTTTCCTGTTTATAATGCTACTTGCGATGCTGTTTTGATAGGGTAACAGTCCTGCAAATTGGGGTTTAGGGTTGAGGGTTTAGGGGCCCCTCGGCTCTTCGAGCAAACTGGGATTAGTATTGTGCACCCTAAACCCTAAACCCTAAGCCCTTAAAGTGTGGGTGTTTCAGCGGTTTCGGATTGATACAGTCTCTTTGGCCTCGCGTTTGGCTTGTATGGGGGGCGGCTTCCGAGAGTTGCTTGTCGAGTTTGCAAAACGGCTCGTTTTGTACTTTACTGGACCAAAGAGTTTTTATTAGTTTTAGTATGCTGTATTTCTTAAACTATACTATACACTACTATGCTATGCTATACTATACTATACTAACCAGTCTCTGCCCTAAACTCAACCCTAAACCCTAAGTACCTATTGGTCGACTCACTTTTTCGTACAACAGAATCCACGCAAGCGGCCCCACCAGCGACCAGACAATCCAACCCGAGTCGCACCTTGTGCCAGCAGTTTTCTGCAGAGGAATGAATACTTTAGGGTTTAGGGTTTAGGGTTTAGGGTACTTGGTATAAAGTGCGCTTCTTCAGGATTCCTCATGTTGACTTGGGATCATGCTTCCCCCGAAGCCCTATTCTAGTCATGGTGCATGCGCAAAAGTTATTCACCATGTTTATTGGCAATTTGCATCCAAGGGCTAAGCGAACCAGCAAAAACTGGCGGCAACGATTCTCTTGTAGTCTCTTTGTTCCAATACTACAACAACCCCCCCGCCCCGCCCCCGCACCCGAAGCGCCATCTCATGATGAAGGCCCAAATGAAGCAAAACCATATGACAACCTACACGCCCCCGTTGAAACCATCAATCAAGGCCCCTAAACCCTAAACCCTAAACCCCTAAACCCTAAACCCCTAAACCCTGAACCCCTGAACCCTAAACCTCTAGACCCTCGCCTTATTCGGATCCCGAAGGGTTTGAATAGTCAGCCGAAGCTGCCCCCCTCGTCGGAGCGGCTGCAGGTCTGCAGAATGCAACCTTCCTGGACTGCAGTGCCATGCCCGGCTTCGAAGGGTATTGGGGTTTAGGGTTTTAGGGTTTGGGGTTTAGGGTTTTAGGGTTTCGGGTTCAGGGTTGAGGGTTTAGGGTCTAGGATTAAGGTTTTCGGGTTAAGGGTTTAGGGTTTAGGAGTAAGGTTTTAGGGTTAAGGGTTTCGGGCTTCGGGTTATGGGTTTAGCGTGAAGGGTCCAGGGGTAAGGGTTGAGGACATGTCAGGGTGTGGGGGTTCATGTTGATGAGAAGAACTTCTCTCAGACTTCTGTCAACCCTAAAACCCTAGACCCTAAACCCCCAAACCCCTAAACCCAACAGTATGGTACGCCCTGGCGGCGCGTGTTTTTGGGCATTATGTATGGAAGGGGTTGAGGTAGCTGGCTTACACAATCATAGTTAGGATATCACACATATTCCGGTGTCGACGTCTTGTTGCTGTAGGGATCCCTAGTCCTAGCTCCTCTTGGAAACTGTAGTTTGACACTGTAGAAAGGGATTGGTGAGTACAGCTACCTCGAAAATACACGCCGCCACGGCGTACCAGTCTCCAACCCACAGAGTTTTCCGGGCGGGGCTTTGGGTTCCGGGCGTTTCGGAGCTGCCGGACTCACTTGGGCTGGAAGGCCCAGGGCTAAATAGAGGGGCCTGGTTTAGGGTTTAGGGTTTAGGGGCCTTAAGATTGGAATAGGGTTTTGGGGCTTCTGTAAAGGGTTCCTTAAAGGGCTACTACAAGGGTTTGGGGTTTACAGGCCTTAGAAATTAGAAGAGGGTGTTTGGGGTATATTCTACGATAATCATAATAAGGAA